ACTAAAGGCTCTTAATTCACTTTTGAATTATGATGCATTTATTTGGAGAATCTAAAATCTGTCCCCTTGTATCTCTTGACCACAGGCCGTGTCGTGAACGTGGCCAGCATGTATGGAAGGATGGGCAACATCATGAGGTCACCGTACTGCATTTCCAAATACGCCGTGGAAGCCTTTTCTGACTGCCTCCGCTACGAGATGAAAGCGTGGGGCGTAAAAGTGTCCGTAATCGAACCGGGCAACTTTATTGTGGCCACTGGCATCTTGACCCGCGACATCGTGGCTACCACGGCCAATAAGCTGTGGAGCGAGGCGCCCTCGGAGGTGAAGGAGGATTATGGGAAGACCCACTTCGAGCAGAACATGGCTCTGATGCGCTCTTACTGCAGCAGCGGGCAGAAGGATACGGTCTCCGTGCTGGATGACATTACCGATGCCATCATGTCCAAGCGTCCTCACACGCGCTACAGCCCCATGGAGCCGCACTGGTGGATCAGAATGCAGGTGATGACCCACCTGCCGGGTGCCATATCTGACCTCCTTTACTTCTAGAAGAGAAGCTGTTCCTGTGTTTAGCTCACCCTGAGAATCAGATAGCTGAAGAATATCACACTAAGTAGCAGTTACACAGATCTACAGACTAAGTGGGGTTCCTGCCATTTGGCCCTCAGCACTTGAAATCATCTAATGATCAATCAAGCCTTAACAATATATATATATATTAAAAAAAGGTTTTGTAAATTGTAAGTAAATTATTGCACTTTGCTTTTCATGTGTCTGGCAAGAAGCATAACTTTATCTATACAGATATTCTCTGTTGAGTAGTAACTACTTTGTGTTTGGTATCAGCAGAGCCAAAATCTACTCATAGCTATAAGCGCTGCATCCTTATCCCGTGCTGTGGTAAAAATATTTTTTAAAAAAATTGTTTCTCCTTCTAGCTCTAAATATTTTTTCCCAAATACTTGTAATATTTTGCCTTATGGGAATCTTGTGGGGCCACCCCATTGGCACGAGGACCAACGCTGGCTCAGGAGAAAGCTCCTGCTGCTCTTCTATAGCAGACAGTGGAAAAAACCAGGGTCAGCTACTGTAGGACCATGGTGAGATTTTGGCCTCGGCTCGGTCCGACGTTGCGTAACAACAGCACAATCACACTTTGTCTCTCGTGCTCCAAACCATCCTGCGTGAAGGGGTTTTGGAGCACGTCAGCACCGAGGTCTTTTGATGGGATAAATGGGTACGCTGGACTGAAAAAGCCTCCCCCCCCCCCCTTGTAACCTCCCCTCCCCTCTCTGATGACAAAGTATTTTGTATATGGAATGATCCAAATAAAAAGAGTATTATATTTAAAAATATTACAAGCATGGTGTCCTTTTATTCCCGCCCAAATAAGTACGAAAGACTTTCTTTTAATATTGGTTTGGGTTGTTAGGACTAGTAAATGTAATATTACTAAAGGCCACCAGGTGGCAGGAATGAATCATTTAAAAATCCCACAGCTTTCCTCATGCAATAGTGTACTGCCGTTTAAGCTGTAACCACACTGCGCTGGGTTAGGGTCATACAGTTTGTGGCTTCATACATCACCTGTTTTGTCCCAGACTGAGCAAACGACAAGATTAAAAACAGACGGGACCATTTTTATGCTGTTTATTACGTCTTTTGAACACTCTAATAGACTCTAAATTATTACACCTGAAGACAATCTCCCCTCCATAAAAACAGTATTAAGAGCATGACATTAAATTTTCACAGCACTGCCTTTATCATCCGTTTTCTTCACTCTCGTACAGGGAGGGGGAGGGAAAGAAAAAGAGGGGGGGAAAAAAAAAAATAGAGCATTGTGAGTTAAAGACCACCATAGAAATGTAAGCAGCACAAAGCACCAAAGATTTAATACCAGAGCCACTTGTTCTGAATATTATCAAGAAATCCATGAAAATAATAATAATAATAATAAAAATAAAAAAAAAAGATCTCAGGCTAGTTGAGCAGTCAGGAAGAAGCTTCTGCTGCACTGTAGTTTTCCATCTTTAATAGTTTGATAGACAATCTCTTGATAATATCAGTCACAACTGACTTCAGCGTTTTTTTTTCTGCAGATTTCAAACCATTTTCTGTACAGCTACGAGGCTCTGCTCATGCGGCCTCCATTCTTGTAAAGTGAGAAAGATCCCATTAACGATATCTAAGCATGGAGATACTGTAGTTCTGCGTTGGAATATCAAGTAAAACATTTAGGTAATCGGGATTTTTTTTGCTTTTTTTTTTCCATATTTAAGTGGCTAAACTGGAAAAGTGGATGTCTTAACACTAGTTTTACATACAGACATTAAAAAAAACAAACTATATCCTTAGAAACCGTGACAGTTTCTCACAACCAACAATAATGTGATACCGTTACTTGAGGTGCTCATACATGGAGATTCAGGTCATGATTACATCACACCTGGTGTTACGTTTCTGAATGAACATCAGCACATAGTTTCATACTGTACAATGTAGGCATTCACTTATGTTATACTTGATTAAAATCAGCTACGGTAAGGTCACTTGAAACTACACACAATATCAACTAATGGGCATTTTTATGCAGGAGATTTAAAAAAAAAAAAAAAAAAAAAAGTCAGACAATGACATTTTCAGCCTGCGTCACCAGGAAATGCTCTTCCCTATAAGGAAGGACATCCCAAAACATCGCTCACTAATCACTTAACTGACGCGCATGCAAAGCTTTAACCAAATACGTCGCAGTGGAGAAGTGGGAAGCACAGGATAAAGACATAAGAATAAAAGAAGGTTTGGGGGGAGCGGTTACTAAACCTTTGGTAGACAAAAAAAAAAAAGCCAAAAAAAAATAAATTGTGAAGGCACATTTTTAAATCCCTTCCTCAATTCTTCAAACTGGGGCACGTTGCGTTGGCGTTGCGTAATATTGCAGGATGCTTACAGAACTGAAAGTTAGGGAGGGCATTTTTGCCAAGAGTGATTCAAAGTGTAGGGAAATGCTGTTTCACGTAGAGCAAAACGGCAGCTGTACGACAAACAGCCACTGATCTGGGTATAATAAAGGAAATGTGACAGAATCCATATGACCCACATACTGATCTAGTGACTGAAAATGAAGCACAAACAGGCACTAATTGTCCCTTTAACATCGTGACATAAAAATAGTTTGGGACCCAAAAAACCAAAATCACTCAAGCCATGCTGACACTTTAAACCACACATTCAGAGATCCCTCCAGAAGCCGTGCACTCCTGGAATGTTTTCCTTTCCTGCCTTAAACGTTTGAATAAGACATAATCCGACTTCAATTCAGATTTCAAGTGGTGCAGTGCAGGTTTAAAATTGGCGCTTGCACTTTTCACCCATCATAAACCGAACTGAAAGCCGATTGTTTCACTGTTTAGAATTCATCTTATACAAGTCCAGGACAGAGGAAAGTCTGCTCACAGCTCTCTGTATGAATAGCTCAGTCAATCACCTGGGGAATGGAGGGAGGGGAAAAAAGGTTCACACCCATGTTTTGTGTTCTTTGTGGCATGACTGAATTTTTTTTTTCATGCTTGGATTAACTAGACCTCCAGAACCCTCCCATCTCAACTCCTTTAGTCTCTGCTATGATATAGCAACAATTTCCCTGCCTGGGTATGCGATTCCAGATACTCTTATCCAATGGAAAAAAAGTCTCAGTCTCCTCCTTTGCTCCTGATTCACCTCTTTTTTTCTTTTAAATGTCCGTTTTCTCCCTTTCCTCCTCCTTCCTCTCTCTCCCTGTACTCGGGTCCAACTGGCCACAGCTGGAGAACTCATCATCGCAGGCATCGTGATCATCATCATCATCGTGATCGGCGTCTCCCGGAGCACACTGCTGAAGCGGCCCCCCGCCAACACTGCTGCAGCTTTGATTGCAGGCAGCACGCAGCGGCACTAGCTGCCGCACAACATTCAACAACTACTTGGTCCACTTTCACTCAAAAACAGCCATTCACTAGAAGTCCTTCACTGTAAATATAAACCATGTGTGCTGCTGAAAGCATTCAGACATACGGACATTGAACATACATTTGGTAAAACCAGCTTAATGTCCCAAAGTTTGACTGCACGTACATTTAAAGCAGCTCTTAGGATACATTAATCAAAAGAAAACAAGCACTTTCTTTATCATTTCTTCAGCATAAGGAATTGTTCTCCGACAACCCCAGTGCTGGCTTAAGCTCGACGTGTACGCTTTGCAACCACACAAACGCGACCCCTGGGTAACCCTCAACTCCTCCATTCCCTCCAGTGATCACCAATTCAGGGAGCAGTGACATCATCCCTCCCAGCCCTCCATTTTTCCTCAGAGCTCCGGCAAACCAGCACTGTATATATTTTTGGAAGCCGCGCAGTTCACCCTGGCTCACCTCACTGCCGTCCATCTCCATCCCCTTTGGCAACACTGAAGACACATCTGCTGTCACCCACACACTGGGCTGGGGGTGGAGGAGAGACCCAGGAGGGAAAAATACTTTGAGTCTTCACATGACCTTTATATGCAAAGATAAACTCCCCGTCACCCCTGTGGACTGTCTCTCCCTCTCCTGTCGGAGCTAGGCGGAAGGTGTTAGGACACTATTCGGTTTGTGTGCGTCCATGCAAAGTTAGAGGATTTAAAACCCCTATCTACGCTGCCTTGGTTTTGTAACATTCACGTGATACAGATACAGCAATATGTGAGACAAGCAATACTGTTGTACAAAGGAAGACCACTATATAGAGAGTTTGACCTTTTACAATAAGAGGAAACCTTGAAATCCTTAAAAAAAGAAAAAGAAAATGCACAGTGTGATATTCCAATCTCTACAACATTGATCATTACAGAATTGTATCAATAAATATATTTTGGTCACTTCATTTTTATTCGGGATTAGCAGAAGTTGTGTATTAGTTTGTCCACAGCCACAAACAGCGCCTTAAGACAGACAAAAAGAAATAAGCTATAGGCTCGGCTCGGCTCTCGAGTTCGCTAACATCTGAAAGAAAATGCCTCAGTCAGGTGTTGGTTGTATAATGTGTAAAGTTAAAAAAAAAAAATCACATTTTTAAAAGAAACCGTTAAAAAGATTATATATTATCAACAACATCAACAACAACAAAAAAGAAAAAGAAAACTAAATGCAATAGATATCAAGGTGGAAATAACCATGGCATTGCCTATGACCTAGCACATCTGGATAATTTAAAATAGGCAACCAAGAGGTCTGTAGTTACTCTCAGGAGTCCACCTTCTTGCCGTCTCCCTCCTCAATGTCTCTCCCATGCTTTTTACCCCACACCTCCTCTTGGAATGCTCACAAATCTGTGACAAATCACATATCATTTAAGTCCTGATGATGTGTTAAGTCTTCAGGCTTGGAGCTGAAATGTTAGTGTGTGTTCTCGTGTAAGTATCTGTATTATATGTTGATGAAAATAATGTGTAGAGGTGTGTGTGTGTGCGTGCATCACTGTGTGAGACAGATGGATCAGGAAGCAGCCAGGGCTTTAATCAGGTACAGTTTGTCTCCCTGCTCACTGGTGAAGATGGGAGCCTTTTTGTAGTGTTCAACAAGCTCTTCCATAGAGTTGAACTTGCGCTGTCCGATGCAGTAAAGGTTGTCCTTCAGCTGCACTTTGAAATGCTTGTTCTTGCTCTGCGCCTTCAGGGAGATGGAAAAGTCGTTTGGCTAAAAATGAAAAGAGAACCGGGGTTACTAACAGTGTTTCAAAGCACCGACACATAACAAGATAAACCAAGGAAAAGGTGGAGGCTACTGACCGATGACTCGCTGTCTCGGATGAGGAAGTCTCCCTCTGTGCCTCTTTGATTGAGCGCCACCTCTGCCTGATGGCGCGTCACCTTTCCGTAGTACCACTCCTTCCCCGCAAAGCGCCCGCTGCCTGATGGCAAGATGTAGTCGCACTCGGGTGTGGGCGGCCCAGCGAGCCCCGCTTGCGGTTTATGGGAGGTGGAGTCCAGCACAGTGACGTAGTTCTTGGGCACCAAGCCCAGCTGTCCATCCGCTTTGCGGCACTTCCACCACTCCGGGTCATTCTCGGGCTTCTCCACCACCTCCATTACTTCGCCCTTCTCAAAGTTCAGTTCCTCGTCGTTGCCTGAGTTGAACGGGTAGAGCGCCTGAACTGTGTGCAGCACTCTGTTTCCGTTCGCTGTGATGTTCACCACCGCAGCCAGTTTCTCTGTCAGCGATCCGGCAGGGTCGAGTCCGCCCATACCCCCTCCCCCCGCCGTCCCATCCACGTCCTCCGTCACATAGTTGGACGGAAACCAACCTGACCGTCCGCTGTAGCTACCGCGCCACCAGCCGTCGCTGCACTTCTCCATCACCACCACACGTGTTCCCTTCACCAGAGACAGCTCATCCTCACGCTCTGCTGTGTAGCTGAACTTGACCAGGGCGGGAAGGTTGAGGTCATACAGCCTCTCTCCGTTATCTGCATTCATATCTGGGTCAGCATTAGGGGCTGGATCTCTCATACCTCCCTTTCTGCTCTTCACTTTCCCAATTCCTAAAAAAAAGAAAAAAATATGACGAATATAGTAAAGATGTTGGCGTTTGCAGGGGAATCATTATCGTCATTCATATTAAAATTGAACCCAGTGAATTCGATCAGAATCTGAAAAGCAGTCGAGACATGCTTATTTGTCTACATTCAAATTTAAAAGTCATCATTTCAATTAAAACAAAAAAAGGCCAGTTCTTTGGAATTTTATTTTCCCCATAATGGTGAGGAACAAGTCTGGAATTTAAAAAAAACAAACACAAAAAACCAAAACTGCACACACTTCCCATTATAAACATGAAAATTTAAGGCAGGAAGAAAAAAATCCCAGACAAATACCAGGGAGCAATAATAAGCATTATGGGCTGGGTGGGTGAGTGGGTGGGTAAGCAGGGCTAAACATCATTCCTTTTCAACATTACATTCCCCTAACCCCCCGCTCCACAGTCCAAATCCAAATACATTCTTGGGGATTAGGCCTAGGTGCTGAGGAAACAAGGGGAAAAAAATGCAATGCTGGTGTGCTGGGGGGAAGAAAGTGAGTGGGATGGAAACTTGTTTTGGCATGGACCTATAAACTCTGTGGAAACTAGAAAGAAAGTAAACTGCTGCTACCCAACAGTGGTTAAAAAAAACAAAACTACAACTAATACCATTTCATTGCTGCTAATCACATTGAACTAATCACCTGCAGCTTACAAAAAAAAAAAAAACTCAGCAGGAGCATCAGAAATATGACGCACAGGGCAGGTAACAATTCTGCAAACTGTGAGCACTGCAAAGAATTCATGAGGAAGGTAAAAATAAAAAAAAAATTCAATGCAATGCTGTATGTCATGTGAGGACAGATAAACAATAGAACAGAAAGTTAAAGATCTTTCTACACTGCAACTGCACTGGATCCACTTTGAATACATTTGCACTAAAAACATGTTAGAAATTGTACTTATTTTTCCAAAGTAATCTCTGTAGGCCACTTGTGATCTTGTGTAACTGAAAGTCACCGTCTTCAGAATGTACTGGTACTTGTTTACATGTATATAAAAGCAACATGTCATATATATTTTAATGGGTCATTTTGCAATGTATATTACTAGTCTGGCCCAGCTGAGATTAAACTGGGCTGTATTTCACCTATACAATCAAAGGCTTTTGACTTCCTTGTTCTAGAGTGCTCTTCCCAGTCTCTACCCAGCACCATCACTCTCCAAACACCCCCTCAACCTGACCGGTGTGCGATGATAAGGAGCACATTCATCAACGTGTTATCAACTGTGGGCTATCAGCAAACTAGCTATTCCTTTCTGTATTTGATGCCAACCTAGCCCACACACATTTCCATAGTTGACCACTGGCAAAAGGGCAACAAACGGAGGCTAACGGTAGAACAGTCACCATGCCCGTGAACCTTTTTCCCAGCAATTGTTTCAATCAGCAAGAATTTCCACCTGACAACCATTTTGCTACTTAAACAAAGCCCACGTGACGTTACTGTAATCATGACACATCTATGCTCTTACCGATGATGTGACAGTAAACCAGACTGAAGCTAAAACTAACCAGACACTGATATCAGATAGAGCAAGCAGACGAGAGACCCTATTCCTGATTACGTCTGCAAAGCTATTGCTTGCACAATCAAAAGACAGCTGGGTGAAATTATATACTAAGGTAGGGTGTAGTCTCCAGGACGGAGTGGGGAACGTGACTAATGTGTCACAACGCCATACTGAATATGCTTTACCACACATAAATTGCTACTGAAAGGTGTCTCTGACTCAAGGAGAGCAGACAAATTTCACGGTAGTGCTCAGAGTCCAACGTCAAATTGCTTCCAGGTAGACCCTGTTATTAGTCACACCACTGTACATAACTACAGACTCCAGACAGGGTGTTAAGAGCTGATGTCTGTAGGTGGAGGTTAAGTGCTGCGCAGATGCTAGTTATGCATCTGTGCAGTCTTTAGGACTTGAAGGCAAAATGTCAAACAACAACAAAAAAATTATTTTTTCTTACAAAAAACAAATGTTTCCACAGCATAAATCCACTAGTCTACATTTTTAAATATGCATAAACATCACAGACCAAAATCTAGATTTCCAACAGCCAAAGCATCTGCAATTCTTGGAAACAAACAAACAAACAAACAAACAAACAAAGAGTGATTATGCAGGTGCAGGCTCCGGGGTGTGCCTTTGCACAGTTGGAAATGGCCTAGTTAGCTCCATACAAAGGTTAAAGGTGAACTCTGTATAAATAATGCGTCTTTTACCTCCGACTGACACCGGAGACAACTTATTTTGGAGTTTTTATCTCTTTGGCCAGCCAACAGTCCTTATCAGTGTCCCTGTCACAGTTTTTATTTGGCACTTCCTGCTCCGCTCACATGAACACTTTGCATTAAAAAAAACCCAAAAAAAACGGAGCCACTAAATTTGACTAGATGCTCAATCTGTAGTAGTAGGATGTTCAGATTTGTCTGTATGGCTACAGGTAGACAATACCAGAAGACAAAAGAAAAGAAAATTGAAGGCACCTGCTTCTCTAAGGGCCCATCTGCAATGCTGCTGTAGGTCGATTACAAAAATGTACGTGGCTGTGCAGAATAGGGCTCTGAGCACAATCTCTGGACCTTTTATTATGTCGAACTCAACAAGGTATGTGCAGAGTAGTAAAGGCACAGTAACAAGCACGTACAGGTGGTGACAGCAAACAAACAAACAAAGTGTGTAGAGGCATTTTGAAACCTGCAGAAATTCCAGATTATCATGGCACAGATAAGAGGTAGCTGGGCTTAGTGTCTTTTTTATGAAGTAATGGTAACACATTACATAAGTGACGTACGTTAGGGCAGTAACAGGACAGTCTGAGGTTAAGCACTGCTGGATTATATGAGGGCTGAAGCTGGAAATCTTTCATCTGACCAACAGCCCACTGCAACAACTAGTAATGAAACCTTTGCCACAAAATGCCCCACACGACGAGAAGCAGAATCCTTCAACTGCAGACATGAGACAGAGTAAAGCAGCGATGAATCTTAAAACCCCAAAACAAGTCAGTGCTTTCACCTCTGGTTCCCTGTGAAAAATCAATGACTGCTGAAATACGGCTTGTGTTTACCGCAAGCTTCAGACAAACGTTTTACTATAGGAAATATTTTAGAACTCATGAGTCGCTAATTTAGGTTACAGAAAGTCTCAAAGCCATTTAACACAATCACAATCGAACACAAGACCTCACCGATTGTGCCGTCATTCAGCTGCAGTGGAGTTTATGACCTCTAATTTGGATTTTCTTTCTAGTGACAGCATTTACACAAATGCCATTTTGCCAAAGAAAACAAACTAATTCTCCATATTTTATGCAATAATCCAACAAACCTATTGAAACACTTACTGGTTTTATTTCTCGTGGGACAACGTCCAAGCTGGCCTACAAAAAGAAAACGGTGTTTTTGGCTACAGATACATGTACTCTGAAAAAAGCAGATTTAAATGTAGAAAGCTAAAAATAAACACCATCTCACCACCTACAGAGTAGTTTCCGCTCATTGCTGACACCTGAACTTAACCTAAAATTCTGCCCTCACGGTGCATGTGTACATGCAGTGCGGGATTTTCAGCTTCCCCAAAAACCCACAAACCCCCCCGTTACTCTATTGCTACCAGAAAAAGGATAACAAGAGAAATGAAAAAGAACTTTGCTTTGGAAATTTTTCTCTCATTTGACGTCACATGCTTTTTCCTGTGTATTTCCTTAGAGGAGGACACAGAGGAAGGAACTCATATTGCAACAGATGGCAGTAAATAACAATGATTAAGACCATGACTTAGTTGGTAACCACCTCTGAAACAGTTGCTTTTTTGGGGGTTTATAGATGAGGTACACTCAGCAGGAGGAGAAGAAAGTGCTGGGGAGTTTGCTCAGCTACCAGTGGTAGACAGGAACTAGTTTTGTTTTTCAACTGTGGCCTCCCTACACTGGCTGGCTGTCCCATTGTCTGCTAGGACCCTTTCGACCTCCTGGCTTCCCTCCATTTCACGACTCTTCCTCTGCGGACGACAACACCCCGCGTCAGGCTGTCTGACAGTGCCTGAACACACTCCTGCTTTGGCATTTTGAGTCCTCCTGCTCTAATCACAGTCATATTCTCAACTGCACTTCTTCTCATGTTCCCTAAATTATCACGCAAACTACACTTATGTCATGTGGTGACAACACAGAGCCTCAGAAAGTGCTCTATAGATTCACAGCAATGCAAACTCAGACAATATATGTACCGCAAAACAGCCACACTCAGTCGTATGGTTTATGTGCCAAATATAATGACAGCCATGTGTAGTTCAAAAATCAAACAAGCTAAAGGAAAGACACACAAGAGTGAGTTGGCTGTTCTTCAGTGGAGACGACCGGGGCTACCTTTTAAGACTACAGCTTCAATAAAGCTGCCAACGCGGTTGAAACGCAGGAAACGTGCAAACTTCTTTCAACTTCAGCTGTTCGAGACATCAAAAGCAAGCAGGCAGCCATCGATCTCTGTGACGGAGCAGCGCTCGGAGAGAAATACTCCTCTGTTCTTTACGCATCTGGACAGCACACCGCTACAGTCAGGCGCTACAGGAAAATTATTAGGTTAACATATGTAATCACAAAAACCCCCAAAACAAAACAGAAAACTGCACAGTAACTTTAAAACTCGTTTTCACTTTCTCTTCACCTTTACTCAGGTGACCTAAATTTAAATTGCATTTTGCTGATGCTGTAAATCATGTGTGCTCCCCCCCAAATACAAACACGTCAGTTCAATTAAAAAGAAAAAAGAAAAAGATTTCTATAACCACTGTCTTTTACATGATTGCTATTTGGACACGCCAATAAAGCAACGAGTGTCATGATACTGGCATGCTGCACAAACAAACAATAGATATTCAATTGTGGGCAGCAAGCAGGGGGGCAAAGAGACGCTCTACTGAGAGCTAATATTTATATTCCTTCAACCACCAGTTTGTCAAAATGATGCTGAATAACAACAAAGTCTAAAACAAAACTTTTTCTATGTGCCAGCCCCCCCCTCCCCCTTGCATTTTAACTAAACCAAATAAGTAACTCACAATAGATATACAGTCTGGTTTACTTGTTCCTTTTGGATTTCTGAGTTTTGGATTATCATAAACAAACACTTTAAGTGATCTTTTGACTGTACTCTACAGACCAAATTGTGGTTATTCACTGGGAAAATAATCGGTATATTATTCTATAATAAAAGCAATCATCTATAGTAGACAATATAATTCAGTTGACAAGGCGGGGGAGGGCGTTGTTAATGTCGGCAATGGTTCAACAGGTCCAGACCCTTGCTCACTTCCTCTTAAGCAATTCTTAATGGAAGAATATACAGGAAAACAAAGACGAGTAAATGTCTTTTCACAGGAGAACAACATCTGAAGGCCCGAGTAAACTTGACAACTCCCCTGCCAAACTTCTAATTATGATTACGTCTTTTGCCTTTTTGGTCAGGGAAGAGCGATCAGTGGTTTTGGAGAAAAGCCGGACTTTGAAATGAGGGAGCGTGCGACAGATAGATCCCCCCCCATATGATTCAACTTCCTTCTAACTTCTTGCTTCCTCTCTGGCTTCACTTCTCCAAATGCTCAGAGAGAAATGTGCCTCAAATTAGAGTTTCCGCTCGCTGGGGAGGCTGAGAAACAGGAAAACGGAGGGAGGGGAGAGAGACAGAGAGAAAGACTAACAGCTCTCAGTTTACACAAGCAAAACATTTGTTAGCTCATCTCTGTGTTGGTTTCATCACCATACTCTGGATCCTTCAGACAGCAAGCAGACTAGTCAGTGGACACGGACACACACACACACACACAAAGATAGACAGAGACAGGCGATATCACTCAGCAGTTACAAGGTGAGATTACAGCAAGCGTGTGTGCCGAAGCCTTTTGAAAACGAGTGTCAGCGTGGCTGTAAAATATCCTCATCCCACAGAGCTGTCCATGTAGCGACATTCCTCTGATAACCGAGTGAGGTGCGGGAGATGGGAACCCGGGTCCCATCAATCAGCAAAGACCCCTTCCTCCTCTTGACTACAATGACTACAGTGTTCTACATAAGCACCCTGCGTCCCTTCAACTGTAGCCCATGACAGGAGGTGGGGTGGACGGTGGGGGAAGAGACCCTCCTAGAATGAGTAGGGGCACCCTTAGGTTAGCATAAGAGAAAACACACACGGGCTATATATTAAGATATTCCTAAACAGGGTAGGGGTCTTCAAGCATGATAAAGTAATACACCTAGCTCACTGGGACTAATAGTAGAAAGAACTGGAGTGGGATTACTGTGTGTATGCATGTGTGTTCAACAGAAAGAGGCAGAGAACGATTGCTGAGGCAATTACAGGCTTCGGCTCAGCAGAAGGCTTTTCAAAAGCATATCCACCCAGTCTTTGCAGCTGCTCACACTCACACTCACACACACACACACACACACACACAAAAGCTGTTAAGACACCCTTTCACCCTCTCTTTACCAGCGCAACATGTTAGCACAGAAATCAGTTTCCGCCAGCTCCAATTATGACACATTTACTTGGTTAACTTGAAGATAAAACTAACCAGTGTGAGAAATCACGAAGGGAAGATGAAAAAGAAAGAAGATTTGACAATTGCCGCTGCACAGCTAGAGAAAGAAAGAGAGCGCGAGAGTGAGAGGAGGAAAAAAAAAAAGCCACTCAAACTTCAGACAAAACATTTCCGGACAACTTGTAAAACAACAAATGAGTCATACTTGCTTTAAAAGCAGCTTAAGAAGACTAGAAATGTAGAAAACTCACGAAAGAAATGTTTGAATAGGTTAGCCATGTCCATTTTGGGCTTGCCGTCTCTCCCTCTCTCAGTCTCCTTCCCGGCCCCCGCTCTCTTCCCACTGCAGCTGTAGAGTTATTCCATGTGAACACCCAGAGAGCTGGGAGGATTTCAGAGCAGGGCAGCCTACTTGTGACCATGTGGTCAGGCTTAGCCAATGAGAGTGTGGGATATAGAGGCCTTCAGTCCAGCTATGGAAGGCAGAGCACAGAGGCCTCATGGAGAGGAGAAGAAGAAGGGGGGGGTTGACACTTATACGCGCAGAGAAAGAAAAGGGAAAGACAAGGTATAAAGAAAGTGAAGGAGTAATTTCCTCAACATATAGAAGCAGGAGGGTAGTGTCCTTAAAAAAAATTATATAAGGATCTGTGAGGACATGGCAGCAGCTGAGTGAGTCAGTGAACACTCAGTGTCACATGACTGCAGTTGTTGGGAGAAACACTCATAACTTTACAACAAACACAGGAAACATGAGTACTAAAACACACACACACACACACACGGATCATACCATCACACATTCTTTCGAACGATGACACTGCTCCACACCCAGCAACGGACCTGGCTAAGAAAAGAAGAAGGGAAAAGGAAAAAAAAACCAAGGTTTTCCCTCCCACATATTATTGAAGAGTCAGCCCTAAAGTTCACAGCTAAAATGCTTTAAATCTACTTAATAAATAATTAAAAACAAGAAAAAGTTATACATTTACAACCTTTCTATTGCTATATTTGTGTTTCATAAAGTTTGGTTTATGGTTAGACCACATTTGCTCATGTTTTACTGAGTTGTATGTGTAAGTGAGAAATAGCTGGAGTTGCCATTGCTGCAGCTGTTCATGTGAACCATTTGATCAACGGATGCACCGACAGGTGGGATGTTACGGGGAAGCTTGTCGCTGTGGTGCACGACAACCAAACACATACACACACACACACACACACACACACACTACAGACAACAGAGAACAGACAGGCAAATAGACCTATAAAAGCCTAGGACATGAAGACTGAGGAGACCTAAACTGCAGCAGTAAAAATAAATAAATAAATAAAAATTTACATGCCATAAACAGAAAAACAACAGGAGAAAAAAGGGAAATCCCTCCTTATTTAAGTGAGCAAAAACAGAAAAGAAATGAGCCGCACATTAAAAACTAGAGAGGCTGCTTCCTGCCCTTACATGATTTTTCATTACGAGAGCATTTGAGCTGACAGGCTCATCTAACCACAGCACTCACGCACACACTAACAGGAAGACACATTTCACGTGTCCAACAGATAAGGGTTTTGCAAACATTTGTAATGTATACACTTATGACACACTTCTGGTTAGAAGGACGGAGAATAGCCCCATTTTTTTCTAAACTTTCGGGAGGAAAAACACCTTTCGGACAAAGGGTTTCCTCGCAGAGATCCTCCTACTCAACAGCACGCAGACACTGCCACATCACCAATAAACAAAACTGCTTAAAAAGTACCCTTTTTTCCCCTGCAATTTGATGTTATGCAGATAAATAGCAGACGATGACTAGTGTACACCTAATGGATTAGCGTAAACTGACAACAGCTGTGCCATTACGCTTTAATTAGGATAATGATGGCATGTGGTTCAAACAGTTTGGAGTTCAATGTTTAAAAAAAGCTTCTGACACTAAAGACAAGGCATAACAAACTAGGTAATTTATGAAAAGAGAAATCACAAACAAACTGTGTTACTATGGTGCAGATAGAGGAGAAAACACCTGTGCTGTATCAATTCAAGACTAGATAAAAGGATTAGGTGCTGCTCATACAGAAACAGAAACTAGAAATTGTCCAATTTACCTCCACCTAACACACATCAACAGGAGAAAACATCAATTGTATTGGCATTTAAAAATAGAGATCACCGCCTTACCAGAATAAATGCTTCAAAATACACAATCGTGCATCAGACAACGCTCCAAGAAACTAAAGTTTCAAACTAAAGTGCACAGTGAGATGAAAATCGCTCTCTGCATTTCAACCAATCACATATCAGCCTGCGACCATTCTCCTGTGGTGACTTTCACAAGATTCATCACACGCCACAACAATGTATTGTAGCTGGCCTAGATAAACGTGCTCTGTAATGCCACTCTTCTTTTTCTTTTTTAAAGCATGCAAAACACAAAGCACATCAACCAACAGTCAAAGATGCTGCAAGGCATCAAACATGCGCAAATATTTCATAAAACATCCTCAAAGCTTTACCGGGAAATGGTGAGATCCTCCATAACACTAAACAAATTTGTGGAGAAGAGTGTTAACTTTGATAAAGCTTCAAGTCAAAGTCAGGAAATCATAACTACTTTTTACCTAGTGTGTCTTTGAGATTCTTGACTATAGATGCTTTCCTGGCACTGTTTTTCCTTTCCACATAGTTGGACGGCACAAAGCCTGTTTTGTTGGTGGCATTTCGAACCCTCCACCAGGACTTTGAGTCATCGAGAAGCCAGAGACGCTCGTTTTTCTTGATGTCCAGCTCCTGGTCCTGCTGGGCCATGTAGTCAAATTTGGCGATGACAATCACCTCTTCCGTCATCTTGCACTAGGAACGCTGAGAGAGAGCAAGGAGAGACATGAGAGTGACCAAAGGGTATATTCTACCTCACAAAGTCTTTGAATCCTTTTAAACATTAAAACATTTTCAAAATAGTGTCATCGAGAATAGTGTTATCTCATGAGCAGCAGTAGCAGTTACTTATTTACACTTCTACCGAGCCTTCATATCTTGCCCAAGTATGGATTATGAGCATCTGTTTCCTGTGTCTGCTAACACTTGAGACGCATGTCCAGACTGTGGTGTTTGCTCATGTAGAATGATTATTTAGAAGACACAGCAGACGTAAATTTAGAAGCCGTTTAGAAACAGGCAGCCGTACCTGTACTGCATCAAAGCTGAGAACTTCAAGGGCTCTGACAATTCTGCTGACCTAGAAAAAGAACAAGAACGATGCGAGATAATTACTACTTGCTTCTTCTTAAAACTCTTCTCTGCAGATTTGTCGATATTATCAGGAAACTTCCTCTTTTATACAGTGTTGGCTCTTGATTTTTAAATAAAACGAACCCAGTGTGTTTACAACATTGTCTTTGTAGTGCACCAATGCCAAGATACAGATGATGTTATTAAACTATATTAGCAGAAGGCCAGCCAACATTTCCACAGTTTAGTCTCTTCAGATATAATTTCCCTCCACTAATTGTATTTTTTTAATAACAGTCATAACTGACTATCCACAATGACAGTGTACAAACGAAGCCTTCATACATTTACACAGGTGGTTAGGAGCAATGCTAAACTACCAAACTCTCTTTTTCTAGGCATCAAATGTGAAGCGAGAAATCAGAACGATGGTAAAGATTACTGCAACGGGGAAGCAAAAAAAGAGAGAGGCACTGTGCGTCAGAAATGTGGGTACGTCAGTGAGCGAGGTGCTCAGCGACCAGTGATGAAGGATATTATTTTAAATTTAGCACTGGCCTATAAATATTCAAAACTGTGCGCAGCGCCAATGCAAATGTTCAGCTTATATGAACAGCGATGTTTGCGATCATTCATAGGTTCCCTGAGCTATCTAAAATTATGATTTTGGAAGACTGTGATCCACTGTGAAGACTTCATGTTCAACAATGAGCACATTCACAACAGCTGGTCTCATGACCCCTGCAGCCATCAGCACAATCAGAATATGCTAGATTAATACAGCAGATACTTGGGTCAACAGTGAGGGAGTGGGGCACCACTGAAGCATCTGCTTAGCTGCTCTGATGTCACGAGAGTGGATGGAGTTTCACCTTCACCCCCCCGCCCCAAAAACTCCCGACTGACTCCAGGGACCGGACACTGACCTCGTTGATAGAGAGCTCTTGGTTTTTATTTGAAGCAGCAGCAGTGCCTAAGTTTCCTTCTACAGCTGGCCTTGAGATACGCCTAAACCTGATCTTAGGCAAACACAAGCAGAAGCTGCAGAGCTAAGTTTCAGCATGGTTAAGCAAGAGGAGGCGGGGGGGGGAAAAAACAAAACAAAACAAAACACAAAAAGAACAAATTTATAAAAATTAATTAATTAATTAATTAATTAAAAAATTTTTAAAAAAGGAGGTCTGGGGAGATCTTAGCGGACTAAAAAAAAAAAAAGAAAGCACAGAAGACAGTTAAAGCAACATGAGATGATGCTGCCACATTAAGACTACAACAAGTTTAGAGTCAGAAACTAAGAGGTGTGATTAAAAAAAAATTATTTGTGTAACATAGCTTCCATAAAATGCTGGGTGGGTGGGGGGCACCTGTGGTTTAAGCTTTCCACATATGGGGTGTTGTCTTAATTTGCAAAAAAACTAATAAATAAATGAAAAAAATCATTTGGGTGTATAATGTGGTTTTATCTCATGGCTTGTTATTGCATGCTCCTTTTCCATCCTTAATTAAATTAATGAACACTGCGAGACATGTTAGGGAGTGGCACAAAAAAAACAAAGAGCTGATTTACTCTTCTCGAGAGCCTCCTTCACCCAAGACAAAAGCAACAATCTCTCCACTCCCTGGGCTGGGCTGGATAACTGTCTGCCAAAACAGGAATACAAGTGTGTATATGCGCTCCTCCTGCATTTACAACATCCCACCCTTACTATAGTTTTTCCATTTTACACTCTCCCTAGTATTTCATGACCAAATCGCAAGTGCACAGCTATTCCTCCCATTTTCAGAAAACACGCTGCAACCCATCACCCCCCACATCTAAGATGGCTAAGCACTAAGTGCACATTAACACCACAGTGACTTGCGATGCGAATGTGAGGGAGGATCAAAAAGTTAAGCGACAGATGCCCTGAGCTAATCATGCAGCTGCATACTGAGCCGAGACCAGTCGCCTTGCCCCAAAGCGCTACGCGAGAGGTCAGACGGGTCAAACTGCTCAAACGGTCTCGCATTAACATCAACTGTGGATCTCCACTTACCCTGCTGCCAGGCAGAATTAACAGGTAAGCCCAATCCGCCAGCAGCACATAGCACGCATCGATCTTATTGACTTTGTGACTAAATGTTTTCACATTTATCTTTCTAACTCACAGCTTTAAAAACAAAACAAAACAACAAAAAAGGACTCCTCTTAAATTATAAAATACAGTAGAATAGCCCTTTATTGTCATCGTACATGTACAACAAAATTGTAGTTCGGGAGCACTGTGCTGCTGTATACGTTCATATTTTCCGCCATCTTGCATTTGTGAGACAAAAATTAGGTTAACTAACCAAAAACGTGAAAAAAAACTGTCTTTCCATTTAGAGTTGAGATGAATTAACATATGCAGAATCACCTGTAGTTGGAGGATTTTGCAAGACAAGTAAAAATAAAAAACAAAACAAAAAAACATATTCACTGATGATTCGCAGTGATGTGGAGGAGAAAAGAGGCCAACCAATAACAACAGCAACAACAAAAACCACTACGAGGGCAAGGGCTGCTGATGTGGAAATGTTCAGTGGACAAGATTATCAAATGCGATGATGTCATGACTCAATGCTCCCAGACAAATAGCCTGTGACCTTCATAATGAGTAAGTAGTAGAAGTATAGATGTTTTGAAGAAACCAAGCACTGGGAAAAATAACGTGGGTGCCAAACATAAAGCAAAAACACGATCTTTACAGACAAGCTTTGTGGTCATCAATGAGGGCACCGAGACTGCATGAAATGGTTGGAGAAGTAGCCAGATCTGGTGGTCTGTGGTAAGCGCAGGGTTTTCCCTGCTCGTGGCAGCTCTACTATTCCTCCCTCGTAACATTCAAAACCAGTCTGCTGTCAATAAAGCAAACAAAAAAAACAAAAATAACATCTCTAATATTCTGCCTTGAAACAGAATAAAAACCTGTGTTCTAGTAGCTTCTTTACTGAGAGCTTTTCCAACACGTTATTATCAGTATCATCTGCTTTAAAGGCTGAATTATAATTTGGATTAATCAAGTAATATCTGACAAAGTATCGGAAAATATTAGAAACATACCGGGGCAGTTTTTACACAAAACAACCAGCTGAGTGTACGCTGAAACGCTGTCACTTCACAGCTAACAGCTCAAGATTGAACTCGGTGTGGGGGTATTACCACAAGTGGAATGTGTGTTTATAAAGAAAGTGGGCCTATTTGTGTCATGCTAATGTGCAGAATTATAAACCAAGCGGTTAGTCTGGCTCAACGTTATCTAATGTCACGCCAGGCTAGTGACAGGTCAAGCAGTGTTAATACAAGTCAACCACTCATGTTCTCAAGAGTACCAACTCTAGTCACAACTGTTTCCCATCAGCAATGTAAAACTAACCCAAATGGCATCACTGGGGTATTGAACACAGGTCAACGATCCTTTATTTAGAGTCATCAGAAAATATCTTTCTGTTACACAAAATTTGACGAGGCTCAAGTGACGGCGTAAACCACAAACCGCAATAACTGCAAATTAGCAGTGTAATGAAGATGCACAGTGCAACTTTGTCAGTTCTTGTATTACAATAAAACAACACTGACATGAATTCACCACATCCTGCAATCTACAGCTACTGCCATAACCTCTCGAGTCTATGCATGAGAAAAAGGGGGAGAAAAAAAAAGCACACAAGTGAAGAGCCAGTCAAAGAGCACTCCTAGTGGACTCTTAGTGGAATGCATTTTATAGAGATGCTGTCCTGAAGACACGCATGAGTAGAAAATAGCCAGAGCTGCACTGACGTCAATTTTTGTCCTTTTACAAGTCATATGAGAAGTTATTTGTTAAACAAAATGAACAAACAAACAAGAAAAACCGCACAACAGTTGGATATTGTATCAGCTAAACAAACCAAAAAGAACAACTATGGATCCTTGTCTATCTTCACTGTGTGGGCATACAGTGTATCACTGCTCGGCAAGACTGCTGAGGCACTGAGACAGCAGCAGCATGAGCTCACAGAGGCAGACAGAGTAACCTAATCCCTGTGACAGCCTGCTAAAATCACAGGGCTCTGCTGCCTTCTGGAATGTGCTCTTTCTGCTCGCTGCTCACTCAGCCCCTCTGGCACTGCTACACTTCCTCCTTCCACCAAAATGTGCATTTTAGATACAGGGAAGGTCTGATTCACAAACTGACAGCACAGGATGGCGATGGGCCGATTAAGACATGTTTGCGCTTCTCTTCACACTGAACCACAGCAGCTGAAATCCCATGAGACTGCAGCTCATCCCAGATGTCCCAGTTTCTCTCTAAACAAAACAGAAGCACAGCAGCAAAGGGTCATGGGAGACTTGGCAGGCCAGCTGTGAGACAGGAAGTGTGGACACAAGGGTGACCGGATGATGGGAAAGTGATGCAAGCTGACAGAGAGCAGGCTTGACCCTCTTCGAGTTTAGATGAGTTCAGATAACTTATCTTTGCACTGATGCTTGTAATGTACCTTGTTAAAGAGATCAAAGATGAACTGATGGACTACTTTGAACTTTAGCACCAAGACAGATCACATGATTTCCCACTTTAGAAAACTGTATTGTTCCAGCATCACATTAAAATTGAATTAGTGGGCCTCTAGTGTTTTGGGTTAAGCATATAGGCTAAGCTACATTCATGACTGTGTGAAAGCAGTTGGTTATCCACCCCTCGGGATCACCCTCAGCAGTTGGGAATGGCCTAAAATAGACCGTGGCTCATGTCCTTTGAGAACTGTCAGAGATTTACTCTCATAGCAACGACCAACAGCAAAAGTTTCAAGCTTTCTTTTAGACTAACTTCACATCAAAAGCCCCACTCTACACTCTAAACAAATATGTGAAAGGCCCACATAAACGCCACTGTTTGAAATATGTTGCTTAGCAATTTAGCCTAAAAATCCCATGCAAAAAAAAAAAGGAGTAGTGCCATTTTCATAAAAGGCAGTATTTATGTAATTTTTGGCAAACTTAATGTC